GTGTGTTTGGTTGAGTGTGTGTACTGAGTCTTGGTTAAGTGTGTGTCTGGTTGAATGAGTACATGTGTGTTTGGTTGAGCATGTGTACTGAGTCTTAGTTGCATGAGTGTGCATGCATGTTTGTCACGATTTCGCTCTGTAACTACTGGATGTTGGCATCTTGGGGTGCAATGTCTCATCACACAGTGGCAGAGAGCCCCGCTCACACCAGCCACACATGGGACTGGATCACCAAGAGCAGGACCCACGCTCTAGCAGAGGGTTACCTACTCAGAGGAGGGTCTCTCACCTCCTGGTTGTTTTCCTCCAAGCACTGGTCGTACTCGCTGAGCGAGGCCAAGTAGATGAGTGCTATCACGTTCTCAAAGCAATGGATCCATTTCTTGCGCTCCGATTTCTGACCCCCGACGTCCACGATCCTATAGGAACCCGGGACACCCCCTTTGAGCTCTCAGATAGACTCAGGATCCTATATCCCAGTCATATCCGTACGCCCCATCAACAATAGCACCAAGAACGCGGGTCTCTCTGCACATATTTTATGGGTCACTGCCAGGCACCCCCATGCGGCAGATAAGAAGGTTACCCCCATTTTATGGGAGACTGTGGAGCTTGGGCCACACTGAGATGCCTGCTTTCTCCTCACTGTCCAGCAGAGGGCAGCAGACACACAGATCTGCAAGGTCTTGGAGCGACTCCGAAATAAGTCCCAGCTTGTTAAATGTATACTTCCGTTCCAACTCATAGGGACCCTGTACAGGGTTTCTTGGAAGTGCCTGGTGGGTTTGAACCGCTGACCTTGCGGTCCAGTCCGTGCTTTATCTACAGCATCAAGTGGGTGGCAGAGGGCTATTCTGAGAGCAGACGCCCTGTTTTTGTCCCGGGGCAGGGCCCAGCCTCCACCCCTACACACCACAACAAAAGCCTCCTCCTCGCTTCCTGTGCCGTCTTCTAAGAAATGTGGGCCACTGATAGTATCCTGAGTCATTTCCCCCAGGGAAGCGACCGTTATGGTCAGCCGGACAGGAAATGTCAGAACTAGGGCTCAAGATGGGGCCAGAAACTTCAGAACCAGAAGGGGCCCATTTTACCAGAGGGGAAGCTGAGGCTAGGGATTCTGGGGCCTGCCCCTCCTGGTTCCCAAGGACAACCAATCCCTCTCACTTGTCTTCACACTCCCCCAAACATTCAAAGGGCAGCCACAGAGGCCCTGAGAGTGATCAGCTGTGGATTTCTAAGGCAAGGTCAGCTACCTGCCATGCAGGGGCTTGGGACCAGTTTGCCTCCCCTCAGTTTTCTCTGAGATGTCACTTTATTCATTAGCCTCTGTTCCTGGCCCAGAAACATGCTCAATTCTCCGCAACCTACATTTCAGCCCCGCAGCCTAGCCTTCCTGTGAGCTTCGTCCACCTCCTAATTGTTATCCACCAATTAACCCACCCATCTATTCATCTGTTCATCCATCCATCCACCCACCCATCTAGTCACACACCCACCCACACCTATCTGTCTATTTTTCTATTTATCCATCCATCCACTCATCTCTCCACCCACTCACCATCGTTCACTCTGACCTTGACAAAGACAGAGAAACCAAACTAGATTCAAACCCTGTGGACTCTCCAGCTCATGGAGATCTGTGGCAAGTCAGCAAATTATGAACTGACCCAGTAAGGGCTACTGTAGAGACCAGAAGGTGAAAAAGACACTGACAGACTGAACACAATCCTTGTATCCACTGGGCATTACCTCCCATCCCTCTTCAGCTCCCTGTCATCAACCCCTGGTGCCACCCCCAGGCCCCCGGGCCTGCTTCTCCCTCTGGTCCAGTCTTAACTATGGGGATGGAGGTGACTATATGTCCAGCTTGGCCTCCTCCAGCCTGGCAGCTCCTTGAACACTGAGATAGAGAGCTCCTATTCATCCCTCAGCGCCCTAGCTCCCTTGCCCCTCGTATAGGTGTGCTTGACTGAATGCTCACCGCAGGTTGGTTTTCTGCACGGAGAAACAGTACTCGTTGATGCCAGTGGTGGGCATACGGCTGCGGAGCACATCCTGCGCCGTGGGGATGTAGCTCTCCTCAGTGATGCGCTCCAGGTGTGTCAGGTAGCTGTGGAGCAAGGAGCCCTGAGACCCTGTCTTGCAGGCTCTGTTTGCTTCTCAACCCCTCTCCCGCCGCCAGGGTCCAGAGAGGACTCTGCTAGAGGAGAAGACCCCCCTGAGCAGGATCAGACCTCTGGGGTTTGCAGGTGACCAGGAGTACCGTCTGAGCAGGTGGGAACATTCATGAGAAACAGCTTTCCCTCAGAGCAGCGGCCTGGCCCCATGAACAATGGAACATCAAACGCATTTCCCTGGGGGACAGCGTCACTCCAGCGCAGCTGCCCCCCTACCCCCTGAGCAGCTGTCCTGAGAACAGGGCTAAACCATAACGGGTTTCCCAGGTAGCAAAGCACCCCAGATGGTCCAGTGTGACCCCCAAACAACAGCAATCCAGAAGCCGTATCCTCCCAGGAACAATGTCAGCCACGGCATGAGATCCCCCAGGAACAGCATCACCCTAGAACAGGGTCACCCCAGGAGCAATGTCTCCATGGAGCAGACCCCCCTGGTAATCACACTATACCCAGCATCTCTGCCCCAACCATGGGGAATCGGCTGGCCTGGGTTCTGGTCCTCTGGATGGGTTGTTACATTTCCCTCTTCTAGCTGCGCCCTGTGCCCCCACTGCCCTCCCCTGCTGGTCTACCACAGACCCCAGACTACATGACTGTGCTCAGTAACCCTTCCTCAGTCCTCCCCTGCCTGTCCCCTGTGGACCCCAGACTCACTACAGGGCCGAATCCAGCAGGTGGAATTCATGTCTTCTTTCGTAGCAGGCATGGACGCCCGGGTCCTTCCACAGCCACTGTATGGCCAGAGCGAGGCGCTTCTCAAATGTGGTCACTTTGTAGGGGTCCTGCTTCATGACCAGGCTGGCGTGGTGCTGAGGTCAGAGAGGGGACAGTCAGAGCTGCCCTTCCAGGTATCTTCACAAGCCCCCTCCCCCTTCTGCTATGGAGTGAATTGTATCCCCAAAACATGCATTCAATGTACATGTTGAAATGGCAAATGTCTTTTTACAACACACACACAAAGTGTTTTAAAAAAAATAAGTTCCTAGGTGGCACAAACATTTAAGCTCTGGATTACTAGTCAAAAGTTTGGCAATTCATACCCACCCAGAGGCACCTTGAAAGAAAGTTCTGGCAACCTACTTCCTAAAGGTCACAGCTTTGAAAACCTATGGGGAGGTTCTACTCTGCACACGTAGTAGCCAGGCTTTAGAATCAAATCGACGACAACCAACAACAATTTCAAGTAATTATCCATTCAAACAATAAAAAACAACTAATAATCAGTCTTGTGAACTCTTTGCCATTTATGTTAAAGTAAGATGCTTAATTGTGATCATACATGTTTATTAAATGTATTGTTGTTAAGTGCCAGCAAGTCAGTTCTGACTCCTAGCAACACTGAATAGGGCTTCCAAGGAGAGACTGGTGGGGTTGAACCTGTGACCTTGTGGTTAGCAGTCTAGCGCCATTCCAGGACTCTTAAATATGGTAGATTTTTTAGATATATATGTTCAAGTCCTAACCCCTGGTACCTGTAAATGTGACTCTGTCTGGAAAAAGGGTTTTTGGAGATGTTATCAGTTAACAAAACTCAATATGAGGGGTGTCCTTATCAAAGAGAAAAGACCCAGACACTCAGAAAATGGTCACATGATGACAGAGACAGAGGGTTGGAGGAGACATAGTCTTACCCTAGGAGGGGAGACACAGCCCTGCCCTGGAGTCTGAAGGGGGAGACACAGCCCTGCCCTGGGGTCTGAGGGGGGAGACAATACCCTTCTCGGGAGTCTTATTGGGGAGAAGTCCTCCTGCCCCCAGGCCTGGCGGAGGCATGACCACCCTGACTCACCTTGCTCTCGGGCCTGCAGAAGGGGATCTGCAGCCGGTCCATGGCCTCAATCAAGGTTTGCATAGAGACGAAGATGTTCTGGTAGACAAGGGGCCGGAAACCCCGGCGTTCCTCCTCTGAGTAGCCTGCCCCGTGGATGATCCGCATCTGCTTGATGAACGTACTCTTCCCGCTCTCGCCAGGGCCTGGGGGCGGAGGTGACAAGACCACTCAAATCTCCACACAGGTTCAGAACCCCCAGAGGCAACCCAGGCAGCAAGCAACAGCTACCCTGACCTGGGGCCAGGCCTGAAGTTGCATTCACTCTGGTGATGTCTAGGTCCAAATCCCAGTTCTGAACTCTGGGTGAGCTCTCTCTGGGCCTGTTCCTTTTCAGACCTCTTGAAAGTGTTGAAAAAGCAAAGATGTCAGTTTGAGGACTAAGGTGCACCTGACCCAAGCCATGGTATTTTCAATCACCTCATATGCATGCGAAAGCTGGACAGTGAATAAGGAAGACCATAGAAGAATTGATGAATTTGAGTTATGGTGCTGGCGGCACATATTAAAAATAGAACAGACTGCCAGAAAACAAAAAACAAAAAATCACAAAGCAATTCGTTTTGGAAGAAGTACAGCCAGAATGTTCCTTAGCAGCCAGGATGTCCAGACTTTGTCTCTCATACTTCAGACATAGTATCAGGAGGGACCAGTCCCTGGAGAAGGACATCATGCTTGGTAAAGTGGAGAGTCAGAGAAAAAGAGGAAGACTCCCAGGGATATGGATTGGCCCAGTGGGAGCAGCAACGGGGTCCATCTAAGAACAACTGTGAGATTGTCTCAGGACCAGGCAGTGTTTCGCTCTGCTGTGCACACGGTCTCCTCCATGAGTCGGAACCGATTCAATGGCATCTGACAACAACATGTGGTTCACAATTTGTTGCTGTTGTTGTTAACTGCCGTAGAGTCAGCCCCGCCTTGTGCTTAACCCTTGCAATATGGAATTAATACTACCTGGTTCGAGCCTGCCCCATGATCATGTGGGTTGGACTGATTCCGCCACAGGGTTTTCAGTGGCTGTTTTTTTTGGAATAGATCGCTAGACCTTTCTTCCTACTCTGTCTGTCTTGACGCTCCCTGAAACCTGCTCAACATCTTAGCTACACGTGGTAGGGGCACACCGGGTACCAAGGCTGGGAATTGAACCCGGGTCTTCTGCATAGAGGGCGAGGATCCTTCCACTGAGCCACCACTATCTCAGCCCTGCCTTGTAAAGTTGACACGAGGACTAAATGAGTTCATTATAAAGTGCTCACAACAGGGGTCAGCAAACTTCAGCCCGCAGGCCAAAACCTTTTGTATGGGTAGCAAGTTTTCACACTCTTTTATGATGTTAGATTTCTAATACTCTTCATGCTTGTGGCTTTTATATTTTTGAAAATGATTAAAAAGAAGATAATTTTGTGACGCGTCGAAACTCTCTGAAATTCACACGGCAGTGTCTGTCCATCAATAAAGTTTTATTGGCATAGGGCCTGTGGCTCTTTGTTGATGTATTGCCTGTGGTTGCTTTTGTACTATCTCAACAGAGATCATCCAGCCTGCAAAGTTGACACGTTGATTCTCTTTCCAGAGCATGTGCCGAGTCAGAATGTTGGAGGCAGACAGGGCTTTAGGCCAAGAGTTGGGACTACAATGCCAGGGTAAGGAGTTTGACCTCTTTTCTGTAGGAAAGTTATTTTCTTCTCTCTCCCTTTTCAAGTCATAATAACGTCCCTTTCTCAGACACAGCCTGAAACACAGCCCTGATACAGAAAATGTAAAAGGTGGGGTTGTTAGGGCCAAAGTAGGGGCTGAGTCCCCATTTCGTAAGGAGTTCCATGGGGCTCTCAGAATCCAATGCTTAAAACCATGCCTGGTGTGTCATTGAAGGATAAGCTTTGGACTGCTAACTGCAAGGCCATTGGTTCAAGCCCACCAGTTATTCCTTGGAAACCCTGTACGGGGTCACTAGGAGTTGGAATTGACTCGATGGAATTTAATAACGACAGGGGCTATATAGGCGGGGTGCTTCAAAGACTTTGGGAAAAATGCAATGAAAAGATAATGCAAGGTTTCCGTGAACTTTTTGAAGCCCCTTCAAATGTGATTACTACTACTATTATTGTTGTTGTTGTTGTTAAGTGCCAAGTCATTTCTGACCCATAGTGACCTTGTCTAGGGTTGAGGAGCGACGGGTGGGCTTGAACCGCCGATCTTGCGATTCAAACTGACCTTGCAGTCCAGCGAATTAAACCACAGAGCCACACCAGGATTATCACTGCCCATAGAATGTTTTGTTGTTATGAACCATCGAGTCAATGCTAATTCATAGCACAACTCTCTGTGGCATAGGATTTCCTAGACTGGCATCTTCACGCAAGCTGATGGCCTTATTCCTCCTGGTGGGTTCGAGTAACTGACCTTTTGGTTAGAAGCTGAGCGCTAAACCACTGTGCCACCAGGGCACATTCTAATAACAACAATAACAGATATTACTTCTTACAGTGTTTTCCCTACCACTTGTATATTAGTTTGTTGTACCAGGTGGCTTTCATGCTGCTGTGATGCTGGAAACTATGCCACCGGTAATTTAAATACCAACAGGGTCACCCACGGTGGGCAGGTTTCAGTAGAGCTTCCAGATGAAGATTAAGAAGGAGAGTCAGACTACTTCTGAATGGTTAGCCACTGAAAACCTTCTGAAGGGCAGCAGAACTTTGTCAGATACAGTGCTGGAAGAGGAGTCCCTCTGATTGGAAGGTGCTCAAAATAGGACTGAGGAAGAGCTACCTCCTCAAAGTAGAGTTGACAGTGATGATGTGAATGAATTAGAGCTTTCAGGACCTTCATTTGCTGATGGGGCACAATTTAAAATGAGCCAAACATGGCAAATACCCATTAATAATTGAAATGTAGAATCTACAAACTATAAACCTAGGAAAATTGGAATTTCATCAAAAGCAAAATGGAACACATAAAGATTGATGTCTGAGGGATTTTGGCTGAAAGCAGAGAATATCAGA